AATGTGCATGGAGAACAGCAGACTTGCATATATGTGGGAGACCCAAAAGAAGTCCCTGTCTTCTGGGTTTGGTCTGGCCCAGTCCTGGCTACTGTGGCCATTTGGGAAGCCAACCAGTGGACAGAATCTCTCCCTTGTCCTCTCTCTGTCTCTGTCTATCAAATAAACATAATAAATCTGAGAACAAAAATCGTAACTTCCAAATGATACATCTTCACACAGATTCGTAAATAAACTGTTTATACTAGAAAAATAAAGTCTTATTACTAAAACAAGGCATCGTAAAAATAAAGTTGATTTTTAACTTCTCCATGCAGGTGAGGAACATCCAGCCCATGGAGCTGTATAAGGTCTGTGAAATCGTCTGGTCTGGCCCTACCAGGGCAACTGTAGATGGGACACGAAACTCGGCACACCTAAATTCTAAGTTGATAAATCTCTGTCCTGTGAATAACTTATAAATATCCAAACAGCCCCTGTCCAAAAAAGGGCAGGGTTCTCCAATCTTGCATTATTCTTGAACTCCAAAACTGATGTGTAATGTAGATAGTCTTTGTTTTTTAGGTCTCAAGCTAGGCTTTTCTCTTGGGCAGACTCCACTTGCCAATCTTTAGCTCAGTTTCTCCCTCCCTGAGGGTGCTATTTTTAGGGCATGGCTGAGTCTTCAGTGGAAGCATTGTTCTCCTGATTCAATCCCTCAGTTGGGGGAAGCAGATTACTGAGTCATGTTCTGAGTCACTGAGGGCATTCTGAAAGTGCAAGGGGGAAGAAATAGATTCTAGGCAATTTGAAGGGTAGAGTCAAGGTGAAGAGCAGCATGCTTTTCAAGTTCAAATCTTGGCTTCTCCATTTACTGCCAACTTACTGTCTCCAGGCCTCAGCTTCCTCACCTGTCCTAAATTCGCAAACTTGTAGGACAAAATTTGTGGCGCTCTGTGGCTGAGAGCTTTGGTTAGCTGAGCTCTGTGTGGGGTGGGGCATTTTAATGTGTGAGGATGTCACTGCTCCCTGGAGGATTATGGCTGGTGTGTGCCACTGCCTGCCACTTGAGGGCCTCAATTCCTGTCCCCGTAGCTTCTCCACTGGATGTTTCTGGACAGGGCGCATCCCTATGGCTGCTTCTCCGTCTTGATGGCTGGCTCCCCCACAGTGAGTGTCCCTCAAGAGCACAAGCCAGGTGGCAGTGAGGCCACCTGCCTCACAGACGTCTCACAGTGCCACTTCTGCACTCTTGGAGGCAGGTCCTCAAGCGGAGGGGACTCAGGTACAAATTGTCACTGGAGGCATGGTTCAAGGGAATTCTATTCCGACTGTTCATGATCCTAGTCCCTGCCTTTGTCAGCTTCCACCAGGGAAGCAAGGAAACAGTCACCAAGGAACCCACATTTTCCACTGCCCCCTCTCCTGCCATCAGACATCCTCACTGAAGGGAAGGGCTTTCTGTGGTCACCCAGGGCTGGTGGGTGAATGTCTTCGTTAGTCAGCCTCTTGCTGGCAGCTCTGAGCACAGTTCCACAAGTTAGACACTTGTAAAGTGATAGCCCCAGCCTGAACAAGCCACTGCAGCTCCTGCAGCCCTTACAGAAAACACAGGGAACCTGCTAGAACCACATGCTAAGCTCTTAGCCAATACGGATGCAACAAAGTCAAACCAGCTAGTTGAAATACTTAGCCACTAGCACGATAGCCTAGTGGCTAAAGTCCTTGCCTTCATGCACAGGAATATCACAAGGGTGCCAGTTCTTTTCTTTTCTTTTTAAGGGAGGATTTTTTTATATATATAATCTTACATAGTTGGTTAGGGCACAAAGGGTCAAGGGTTACAGGAAAGTGGGTAAGACCATTATTTCCACACAAATATATATTTTTTTCTGTATCTGGGATAAGTGGAGAAACAGAGGGAGAAGCACCACCCAGCCTCCCACCCATCTCAGGTCTCAAAGGTAGGGAATGCTCTAAATGTCCTGCTCAAGCAGTTTTGATAGTTCAATGGTTCTGAATTGCTGCCAATCTCACTGTTCCAAGCACGATGAAATCTATTCAGAATCCACTGGTTGACTTAGTCTCTTCATGGTCGGGGTTCTGAGATCAGCAGCTCAGTTGGAGGGATCTCCAAAGAAACTTCGTCTGAGGTGATCCCAGACCTGACTCTTGTGTGTGTTTTGCCAGTACAGGGTCTGGCACGGTCTGTCACCCCAATCAGCTTATGCATACGCTGGTGGTTGCAATTGCTGGGTCAGTTCTGTTTCCAGCCCTGTCTTCCATGCGAACCAATGGTTGCAGTCCAGCCTGATTCTGCCCACTTCATACTCAGCCGTCACACAAACCAGTGGGAGCTGCAGTCTAGTCAGGGTGACTCCCCATAACCTCCACCAGGCCTGCTCCTACCCTGTTCCCAGGCTTGTTCGGTCTGTCCCACATCCCATTCAGCTCTCATACATGCCAATGGGCATTGAAGCCTAGTTCAACCCATCTAGCCTGACTATCCAGCCCACATACATACTGGCAATTGCCTTTCTGTCTAGCCACTCTTGCCCCTGTCCTGGTTTTCATGCTCTCCAATGGGAGGGGTAACCCAAGAGGGAGGTGCCCACTATTTCCCTACTAGTCCAGCCCCACTCCCAGATTATGCCCCCTCCAGGTGGTTCTGGAGTTTAACTTGACAGAATTAGCCCCCAGTGCCAGCCTCTGCCAGCTGATACTGCGGCAAAGCCCAACCAACCCTCACCCACTCTACTTTATGCCTGCACCAGTTGTAATAGTCAGTCCAGCTTGGCTTTTCCCTGATCTAGCTCACATGAGGCCCACAGATGTAGCAGCCATGCCTGGTCTGGTCTGCCCCAGTCCCAGCTCATGCTCTCCAGTGGGAGTGGCTGTCCAGCAGGGGAGCCCACATTCCCCCTGCCGGCTTTGCCCCCTCCCTCCCTGGTTCTCATATGTGCTGGTTGGGCACTGTGGCCATATCTAGTATGGCTCACCTCACCTTGGCTTTCTGTAATGTGCACTGGTATGTGTTGCTACCAAACCTGGCCCAATCCATACTCTGTTCTGGTGCTTGGATTCGCCAGCGGGTGATGTAAACTGGTTCAGCCTGGTCTGTCCCTGACCTAAGCCAAATGTATGCTTGTGGGTATCTTTCTTTTGCCTGGTCTGGGTTGCTCCCTATCATAGTTTTTGCACAGGGAGCTTCCCATCCAGCTCCCTGCTTGAGGCCTGGGAAAGCAGTTGAGGAGGGTCTAAAGCCTTGGGACCCTGTACCCATGTGAGAGACCTGGATGAAGCTCTGGGCTCCTGACTTTGGATCAGCTAAACTCTGGCCATCGTGGTCACTTGGGGAGTGAATCAACAGACAGAAGATATTCCTCTCTGTTTCTCCTCCTCTCTGTATATCTGACTTTGCAATAAAATTTTTTAAAAAAAATTTACCAGGAAGAGAAAAGGACAGGAACAGGGCAGACACTCTAACATATCGCTACAGAGTGACACAATTGGGGGGGGAAATGGTTGTCAAAGTGAATGACTAGCAATGCAACAATATAGTTGAATCTTTCGATGTGCCAGTGAGAAAAGGAGTAGAAAAGATACAGTTATCAATGACTATACACATATTAAACAGGCACAATAAACCATAAAGCTATGAAGAGGAAAGGAATGACAAGCTTAAGTTTTAGGACCATAATCATATCAAACCAAGGGCGGAAGTGGGATGGATTGGGGTACCACGTTGTTAAATGCAAATGATCTCACAACATCCTACATTTTATTTTGGGTAGAAGATTTCATGAGTAAAAATATGAATTGTTTAAAAGCATGGATAGGTGTTTGGCACAATGGTTATGTGCTTGGGATGCCCACATCCTTACTGGAATGCCCGGATTCAGTCCTGGCCCCTCCACTCCCAATCCAGCTGCCTGGTAATGCAAATCCTTCATGCCAAAGGGTAACAGCTACCACTCATGAAGGTCAAAGTCCTGTTTATTAAGCAGAGTTGCAGCAGACACCACTAATTTCCTTCTCAATACCGAATCCCCTTTGCTAATGTAAGTCTGCTTTTGTTCAGGATGACGTTGAGCTCAGGTCCTGATAAAACACTGGTTTGCATTAGCGGTGTCTATGGGAAATGACATACAAGTAGAAATTTGCTGGGGCAATCTAGGAAGAGTTTTTGCTTTTCCTGATAAAAGAGAATGGTGTGGGCAGGACTGTCCTCTCCCCCTAACCCCACCTTTTTTTGGCCTTGAACATGGTGTGACGTCTGCAGCTACAGCAGCTATTTTGTTACTGAGGCAACAGGCATGAACACAAGAGTAAATATGCTAAGGATGTCAACACCAAGAGGGAAAGAACTTTATTTTACCTTTTTCATTTTATTGATTATTCTTGAAATTGAGAATTAAGTACTGATGTGTGATAAATAATTTGTCTAAGTAAGCCTACAAATTACTTTTTAAAACATTCATTTATTTATTTAAAAGGTAGAGCTGCAGAGAGAGAAGGAGAGAAGGAGAGATCGCCATCTGCCCCAAATGACTGCGACAGCTGGGGCTGGGCCAGGTCTAAGCTAGGAGCTTTATCCAGGTCTCCCTCGTGGGTGGCAGCAACCCAAGCTCTGAGCCATCTTCTGCTGCTCTCCCAGGCCACTAGCGGGGGAGATGGATCAGAAGTGGAGCAGTCAGGACATGAACCAGCACTGATATGGGATACCAGTGTTGCAGGTGGCAGTTTTATCCACTACGCCACAATGCCGGCCTCTAAAAACTGCTGTTTTGTAAGCTTGAAGTAATTGAGCCCCGCCCCCCATCATTTAATTTCTCTGTTGTCGATTGTTATCTATTTCTCTCCAACAAGTAACCCGAATCCTCACATACTTATGAAAGCAAACATTCATTCTCTGTAGCAGTGGCGCTTGTGGCTCAAGGTCTCAAGCTGTCTGCTGGAGCTGCAGTCATCTCTCATCCAAGTTCATACACCAGGCAGCTGGCAAGAAGCCTCTGTCCTTAGCTGGCTGTCGGCCAGAATCCTCAATTTCTCACCTGTGGGGCCTTTCCATTTGATGCTTGAATTTTCTCATGACAGAGGAGCTGGCACGTCTCTGGAGTAAGCACTGACAGAGAGAGAGAGAGAGAGTGAGAGAGAGTTATTAAAACAAGTTGCAGTGCCTATTATAGCCTCATCTCAGAATTGACATCCATTACTTGTGCTATGTTTGATGGTTCGCACACAGGGAAGTTGCAGATGACTGCAGGAAGTGTAACAGAGTGTACACATCACAGGGCAGGGTGTATATGTTCATCCATTTACTTATTCATTTTTAACTTATTTGAAAGACAGAGATCTCTTGTCTGCTGGTTCACTCCCCAGATGCCCCACACAGCCAGGGGGTGGCTAGCATGAAGCCAGGAGCCTGGAACTCAATCCAGGTCTTTCAGGTGAGAGTGCAGGGACTCCAGGTACTTTATCCAGCATCATCTGCTGCTTCCCAGGGTGTGTGTCAGCAGGAAGATGAATTGGAGGCAGAGGAGCCACGCCTTGAATCTAGGCACTCTGATGGGGTGTGTATGTGCGTGCATGGCTGTGACTTAACTGCTGCACTAACCATGATCTGCTTGTTAACTGTTTTTATTGCTGCTTTTGTAAGTAATGCCTTTTGTCTAACACATTCTTGTATTAGAATGTCTGTGGCTTTCCCTCCCCCAACATGCGTGTAAGTTCCTTAGACAACGAAAGTACTACTCTAAGAAAGTAGAATGAAAGATGCCGGGGAGGGAACAGGATCTCAAAAGGACGTCTCAGGACAGCACCCGAGAAACAGAGTGGACCTCGCCTGCTGGGGACTTCCCTGCCCCACAACTTAGGGAGCGTCCTTGGGCTTGGGACTCCATTGTGTGCCTGGCACCGGGTGGCTGCCAGCAGCCCAAGGGGTGCTGCAAGTGACAGGCTGGCACCTGTGTCTTTTCCTTTTTTCTTTTTAAAGATTTATTTTTACTGGAAAGGAAGATTTACAGAGTAGGAGAGAGAGAGAAATATTTTCCATCAAATGGTTCATTCCCCAAATGCCTTCAATGGCAGGAGCTGAGCTGATCTGAAGTTAGGGAGCTTTTTCTGGGTCTCCCACACAGAGACTTGGGACCCTGCACCTATGTTGGAGACCCACAGGAATCTCCTCTTCCTGGCTTCGGATCGGTTCAGCTCCAGACATTGCACCTACTTGAGGAGTGAACCAGCGAATTAAAGATCTTCCTCTCTGTCTCTCCTCCTCTGTCTCAATAAATCTGTCTTTCCAACTAGAATAAAACAAATCTCTAAAAAAATTCATCAATTAAAAAAGTCACTGAGATAATGTATCACCTCTTTTCACTACATTTCCTTGGCTTTGTATAAAATGGAATGAATCTGTACCATTGCAGAAGGCCTATAAGGCACCATCTAACTCAGAAAGTAGCTTTAGGATCTTATCTTTGTCTTTAAAAATTAATATACAGTCTGACTCAGCCACAACCTCAAGAGTCCAAGGCAAAGTCTGCCTCAGCCTTCTGGGTTTTAAATTTGCTGCTTTTACTTCCCCTTAGTTTTTGTGGGGAGTCACACAGAACCTCTGAGATTGCCCAGTCTTGACACTGGGAGGCAGTGGCGTGGGAGCAGGGCTGGTGTGGTCACTGTTAGGGGGCTTGCTGTGTCCAGGAGGAACGTAGCTTAGAGCTCGGTCCCTGCAAATGTCCAGCAGTGCCCAGCCCCACTCCAGCTGCCAGCCTGCCAGCTTGGGGCTGGAAACGAGTGCAACACAGAGCTCCTCACCCTTCTCCCAGTAGCAGGGAAGTCCCACCTGCTTCGGGGCCCTGGGCACTGTTTCCTTCCAAGCAGCCCTTCCCTACTCACCCACAGAATCTAGAGCTTTGCCATGAGAGCCTGGGGTTTCCAAAATAAAAGCCTGTTCATGCGGCAGACCTCTTCAACCCAGCAAGAGCAAATGCCTGCCATGCTTGGTTGGTGAACTAGCTCACAGGCAGGGAAACCTGCCCTGACTGGGAATGAGGTAATTGTGCCCATAAGTCACACTGCTGCACACAGAGTCCTCCTGACCTGACTCCCGTCCACCCTTCGGGGCTGGCGGCTGGTGCTGAGTGCCCCTTCCCATGGAGGTAATACTCTCACTTCCTCACATGTCCCGCCCCCCTGCAACTGGTTGGCCCCTTTAGGTTGTTTGGAGCCACAAAAAAATGTCAGGGTTCTTGGCTGGACTTTGCAATTCTTTTGGCCCTTTTTTCTGGTTTATTGGATTTTGCTTATCTGAGAGGTAGAGAGAGAGGGAGAGAGAGGGAAACAGAGTCAGCTCTCGGTTGGTTCACTGCCCAAATGCTTGCAGCAGCTGGCACAGGGCTGAGCCAAGGCCAAACGCCCAGAAGTCAAACCATGCTTCCCCTAAGGGGTAAATCCAGTTACCTGAGCTGACACGACTGCCTTCCAAGGTCTACACTGGCAGGAAGCTGAAGTCAGGAACTGGAGTCACAAAACCCAGGTACCTCAATGTGGAACTCGACCATCTTAACTGCTGGCCTAAACACCTGCTGCCCTTGGCCTTTCATAGGCATGAGCTGTCTTGCACCAGCATCCCAGGCAGGATGCCAGCAAGGCCTCCTCTGTCTCATGCACAGGGAGTGAAGCATCTCCCAGAAACACTCAGCACTCTGCCTCCCATGTTACACTGGTCAGAACAAGGCTGTGTGCCCACTGACAGCTGCAGGGAAGAGAGAACAGGTTCCCGGCCGAGCTGATAGCATTGCCACGACCTGTTTAGACAAATCATGATTTACACCCAGACTGGAAACACAGCTGCCCCACTCTCCAAAATGTGAGCCCTGCCTTAACAAGAACGCAGGAAAGAGCGAATACAGCCTGCCTTCCACATACATCTGCTCTAATCAGTTAACCCTACTCCTTTAAACTGGTAGGACTATCACTTCGTGCTTGCTCCTTCTCCCGCAGAAGCACAGCCTTTAGACACTCATGTGCTTGGCCACAATCAGACTGACTTTCCCAGCCTCCCTGGCCGTGTGACTCTTCTCTGAGAATAGGCTGAGGGGCAGCATCACACCTGTGAGGTGAGCATCCCATATGGGCACCTGCTCTTGTCCCAGTTACTCCGCTTTGGATCCAGCTCCTTGCTAATGGTCCAGGAAAAGCATCCATGTTGGAGACATGGATGAAGCGCTTGACACCTGTCTGAACCAGCTCTGAGCATCACAGCCGTTTGGGTAGTGAACCAGCAGAATAAAGATCTCTCTCTCTCTCTCTAACTCTAGATTTATTATTATTATTATTATTATTATTATTATTATTATTGGAAAGTCAGATATACAGAGATGAGAAGACACAGAGAGCAAGATCTTCCATCCACTGGTTCACTCCCCAGGCTGTCACAACAGCTGGAGTTGAGCCAATCAGAAGACAGGAGCTTCTTCCAGGTCTCCCACACAGGTGCAGGGTCCCAAGGCTTTGGGCTGTCCTCCACTGCTTTCCCAGGCCACAAGCAGGGAGCTGGATGGGAAGTGGGGCTGCTGGGATTAGAACCAGTGTCCATATGGGATCCTGGCGCGTGCAAGGTGATGACTTTAACCACTAAGCTATTGCACTGGGCGCTCTAACTCTAGATTTTAAATAAACAATCTCAAAGAAAAATAGGGACAAAACAGCCCAGTGCAAAATCTCGATTAGCTAATCTTCCACCTCCAAGAGCCAGCATTCTACATGGGCACTGGTTCATGTTCAAACTGCTTTATTATTATTATTTTTTTAATTGTAAAGTCAGATATGCAGAGAGGAGGAGAGACAGAGAGGAAGATCTTCTGTCTGACAATTCACTCCCCAAGTGACACAACGGCCAGAGCTGTGCCGATCTGAAGCCAAGAGCCAGGAACTTCCTCCAGGTCTCCCATGTGGAAGCAGGAAACCAAGGTTTTGGGCTGTCCTTGAATACTTTCCCATGTCACAAGCAGGGAGTTGGATGGGAAGCAGGGTGGCCAGGATTAGAACTGGCACCCATATAGGATTACGGAATGTTCAAGGTGAGGACTTTAGCCACTAGGCCACCGTGCCGGGCCCTAACTATTCTATTTTCCATCCAACTCCCTGCTTATGGTCTGGGAAAGAAGTGCAGGATGAACCAAAGCCGTAAGGCCCTGCACCCACGTGGGAGACCCAGAAGAGGCTCCTAGCTCCTGACTTCAGATCAGCTCAGCTCCAGCCAGTGTGACTATCTGGGGATTGAGCCAGCAGACGGAAGATCTTTCTGTCTATCCTTCTCTTTGTAAATCTGCCTTTCCAATGAGAATAAATATATATATATTTTTTTAAGAAAAATAGGGACAGAGAGGGAGAAAGAGAAAATGAGAATGGTTGAAATGAAGAAATGGGGCCCGGCATGAGAGCATAGTCGTCAAAGTCCTCGCCTTGAACACGCCGGCATCTCTTATGGACACCAGTTCTAATCCCGGTGGCTCCACTTCCCATCCAGCTCCCTGCTTGTGGCCTGGGAAAGCAGTCAAGGATGGCCCAAAGCCTTGGAACTCTGTACCTGCGTGGGAGACCCGGAAGAGCTCCTGGCTCCTGTCTTCGGATTGGCTCAGCTCCAGCCGTTGCGGTTGCTTGGGGCGAGAACCAGTACATGGAAGATCTTGCTCTCTGTCTCTCCTCCTCTCTGTATATCTGACATTGCAATTTAAAAAAAGGAAGGGAAAAAAAAAAGGTGAAGGAATTGGGTGGGTGTTTCACTTTGTGATTAAGACATAGTCAAGATGTCCGTGCCTCACTTGGCACACCTGGCCCTCTGATACATGCCTCTAGCTCCTGCAGGCTCTGGAAGGCATCAGCGCCAACCCAAATAACTGAACTTCTGTCACCCACACGGGAGACCCAGACTGCAGCTGCAGCCCTCTGACTTTAGCTCTGACCCAGTTTTAGGAACTGTGGGTATTTGGAGAGTGAGCCAGTGGAAGAGAGCTTTCGGTCTGTCTCTCTTTGCTCCTCCACTGAGCAAGTAAAAATAAATAAACAGGGGCCAGTTTTGTGAAACAGTGGGTTAAGCTACTGCCTGTGATGTCAGTATCC